ATAAATATTTTTAATTCTTATATTGTAATAATTTGCATGATAGATCGACAAATTATCCATTGGTTTATCATTTTAATATCGTATATACTTCATTCTAGAAATAATAATTTATTCAACATACATTTATATTATATAGAACAAATAACTTTCAACTAATTTTTATTTTTAAATCAAGATTAATAATAACTTTAAGTTCACTTTATATATGCATGTTAACCAATAGATTTATTAATATTTTTAAAAATAATTACTATCTCAAGCTATTGATATCATTTCACTAAAAATATAAATATATTAATTAATTAAATTTTTAAAAAGTTTAACCAGTAGATTTTGATCAATAATTGACATCACATTACCTAATATGATGTCAATTAATGGTCGATGGTCACATTACCTAAATAATTTTTTTTTTTCAATTTGTACTATACGTGCTTTTGGGATTTTCAAACTAAATTATTTTTTAGTTGTAAATTGCAACCTGAACTACATATACAGTCATTATTTGCACGCTCGCTCACATCTTGACCATACACGTGTCCTTCTTTTGCAGATGATCGGACAGTCAAAAAGTAGGCGAACGTGCAAATAATTTTATATATGTAGTTTAGGTTGCATTTTACAAAAAAAAATACTTTAAGTTGAAAACTCCAAAAGCACGTATAGTACTGGTTGGAAAAAACAATCTAAACCTTTCACAAAATACCTACATTTTTTTTCTTTTTTTTTTAGGTTGCGATTGGTGGGATTCTTCTAGTCCACCTAAAGCCGACTGGGTCACTAGACAAGTTCATGNAAAAAAAAAAAACTATATAGTTGTAGTTGAGCATTACGTACTCCAATTAATTTAATTTATATTTTGAAGTAAAGAAAAATTTGGAGTTTTGACTATAAAAAATGAAATAATTTCCTTCCTTTTGATTTGGGATTCTTATGATATTGTTCAAATTTTATTTATGAAATTTAATTTTAATTTTATTTTAAAATCAATGCTTTTATTATGACTAGTAACATTATGTTTTTTATTTAAAAAAAATTAAAAATATATAAAAATTGAAAGCAAACAAATAGAACATTTAACACATTTCGTCAGGCCTTATAAAGTTAAGACCGACCCTATTGCTCAATCCTCTTAGTCACTTGCGTAATCTCAATAAAAGGTTTAATTTTAGTTTTTGTAATAGTTGTTTCGTGTTATTATTATAATCGTTTGACAAAAAAGAAAAAAAAAAGAAATTATGAATACAACTCACATGAACATGAATTACTATGCAGCAACGGATCCAGAAATTTTTATGAGCCAAGGCAAAAATAGTTGAATTTTTTTTAACCATATTGCACAAGGTACTTATATTAAGAATTAAATAAATCATTTGAACAATTGGGAGTTGAGGGCTTTCCTAATTAATTGTCCTTTGACTTGACGCTAAAAAGTAAAATTGAGAATGAGCTTTAGTTATTTTATTTTTCCGTTTTTATTATTATTAAGAAATATACCAAAAATATTTTACATTTTTTTTTTGTAATAAGTTATAAACAAGTCATTTTGAAATATAATTCGGTAATTTAAGAAAGGCCTAAATGTCATCATTTTTGTTTCTGTTATTTTATAAAGAGTTCATTATCTTCTTATATATAAATATATAGTTTTTCACGGTCAACTTCCATCGCTTTATAATTCTATATGTTAATTTCTTAGGATTCGAGATAATTCATATAAATATTGATCTTTATCCAGAACTTTCAATTTTAAACACTTGACTAACTTAAATTGTAAATATATTTTAAAAGTTAATAACACTCATGTATGTTATCATTTTTTATATATGATACATTAAATTAGTCATATTTTGGTAATCTATAATTTGACAGTCATATTGTATATATAAATTAAAATAATTATATCTATCTGATATCTATCAATAATAACTTAATATTATCAATTATAATTGAAAAACAATAAATTTATCTATCAAGCTTATAATATGATCTAAGTACTAAAAATATTGTAACATAATACCGTTGAATCTGACAAGTGATGTGTATCATTTTAAATTAATATAATTATGTTATTTGGTAAGAATTATTTAAAATTTTAAAATAAAAATTTGTATTTATGTCTTTATAAATATTAAATATAAATTTTAATTAACACATATTTACTATATGAATAGTATAGTTTGCACAAAAAATCCAACCTAGGCAATTGCCTAGGCTGGACCATATGTAGATCCGCCACTGTTACTATGAAGTCTGAACAACTATAAATCATACTTATTATTTAACACTAGACATCGATATATCAAATCTAACTTTACTTAACACGAGACATCGATATATAAAATTACGAAACATTAAAATGGATACATAAATTCAACAAACTTTACATTTATACATAGAGCTTAATATAACACCAATAAAGAGAAGTAGAAAACAACTAACAAGGAAGCCTATTATTATAATTTGGAAATGACCCCTAATAAAGAAGACAAAACCATTTTAACCCAATGAATCTCAAATCTAAAACAAGCTTGGATAATAATATTTTTTCTGTCACTCCCCATGTGAGACCTCTCACTGGAAATTACTATTTAAAAAAACACCACTTATTAATTCCTCTCTTGCATCTAAATCTAATTAATTATGAGCGACTCACGAGAAGTGTTGTACTCTATGCATCGGGAATCTCCTCAATGAATGAGGCAGCAAATATGGAAAAAAACTGAAAGCAGATTCAAAAGAAAAGAAAAGAAAAAAAAAAAAAGAAAAAAAAANAAACGACACTTATTATGAATAGGAGGGAGTATAAAATTAAAATTCTTGTTATTCGTAACACTTTTTTGATTATGTTGATTTAAGAATTTGATGTATTTATGGGTGTACACTCTAATCGATGTGTTATTAGGTAACAATCTATTTGTGGTTTCTATATTACCTTTTGATCATTTTCTAATTATAAACAATATTCTAGGTTGAACCGTGCGCCGGCCGTGCTTTGCACGGCAAGAGCCGACTAGTATATATATATATATATATATATATATATATATATATTCTAAAAAAAATTGTTGTTTAACACACGACTTACTGTTGTGTATACACAGATTATTAACGGAGTCATTCTAACCATTATTTTAGTCAACAAGTTATATTTTTTTGAATAAAATACATAGTAATAATTTTTAAACAAAATACGTATAACATACTTATAATATTTATGTTAAAATTTTAAAGTATTATACCGAAAAAAAATTTAAAGTAGGATATTTTAGTTTTAAAGTGTATATATATTTTGTTTAATAAGTATATGATCGTCCAACCATTATATCTTCCTAACAATCGTTTTAAACAAAATATATTCAGACTTATTATATGATCCATGTTTTTAGATTGGTGTAAATTAGCATATTGAACCTCACGTAGAGGTTTGACCCGTCAAATTCGGTAATTAGCTTATTTAATTAGTTTTTTCTTTTAGTACAAAATACTAATTTTGAAAAGAATCAATATAAGTACATTTTGAAAATAGATGATTCATATAATAACATGTCAACGAACTTCTAAAATAACTATACAATCCGCTATGCACCAAGCAATTATTTATAAACAATTAATACAATTAAAAAAAAAAAGCATTTTATTACAATTTCCTATTAGTTATTCCCATTAATTATTCCTCAATAATCAAATGTCATCCGCTGTTAGTTAATAGCAAAAATAGAACTAATATTTTTAAGGTANAACGACTAACTAGTAGAAAGAAACAACCAAAGGCTAAATAAAGAGACCTACAAATCGGGACGACTGTAGGCTAGAAATCTGCGCTAGATACATTCACAACACTAAAAGAAACTAGCAACACTAGGATACAAAACTCCCACCGATGGAGAATAATTACTCCCAAATGGGAGAATAAAAACACAAACACACAAACAAATAAACACAGAACACCATAGATAATAGACTAAAGTCCTCTCCACCGATAAGGTACACCCAACACCTCTACAACCGGAGCCAATATCTAACGTGATCTACTGAGAAGAAGTCACACAATCCACGGCCCAACACCGGGTCTAGAAACTCCACTAGTGGCTAACTAGACCTTGGCCAACATACCCAAACCTCCCACACCACAGCCGCCCCCCAGCGCATACCAAAGCCACAACAGCACCACGCCGTCGCTGCAAGAGGATGCAACCTTCTCAACACCAGAGAAAGCCGAATAAGGGAGAAACCAAGGTTTAGTCCACCGCCCAGACCGCCACAAGGCTGCTAGCAGCAACAGTCGAACCGAGACCACCAGTCCTTCCAGACCTCGAGCTCCCGCCATGACAAATCGAAAAGGGTCAAAATCTACGCAACAGAGAAAGAGATTGAAAGATTACCGGAACAACGGCGACGACCTTAGACAAATCAGATGATGGCCGAAATCACGGGGATTTCCAAGGATTTTCAAGTGTATATTTGTTGAAAAAATTTAATTGCATAAAAAATCCCTGTTATTTTCTTTTAATTTTGAAAAATGATATATAGCCAATACAGTGTACAACTAGATTTACAACACAAGTGAAAATATCTCTTTTTTTTTCCTGACAAGTGAAAATATCTATTTGTATATTTTTTTTACTTTTATTTTTATAAATAATTTTTTACTTATTTTGTCAACCTAGTTGTACATCAATGTACCATTTCTCGTTAATTTTATCTTTTAACTCTTCATCTTTCTTCTCCATCATAAATGACAATTAAAACCCCTCCTCTCTCTTTCTCTCTCCAAGACTCCACCTTGACAGGCCACAGCCAAAAACCCTGCTCACACACAGTACACACACTCCACAACACTCCATCTTTCTCTCTCTCTCTCTCCACAAGGTCCTTCGAACAAGAGACCCACCCATATAATCTCATTTTACACCGATTTAGCCAAACACACAGTCTTAGCCCCTTGCAAAATTCCAACTCCTAACCACCTTCAAACACACACACACACACACACAGTTTTTCTTTACCAACCCACACCAGCAACTATCACACACTCACGCACATGCATTCATGACCAGAATCTCGAGACACCGACCGTTAAGTGGACCGGTGGCGACTGTTAACAATTATTCGAGTTTCAAATCTCACTGTCAAGAGAAAAGAACCCCAATAATTGGTTCTTGTTATTGCGATTAAATGGGTTGTCTGATATCTCAGCTGGCGGCCAAATTCGCTTTCTTCCCGCCGTCGCCGGCGACTTATCAGGTGAAGAAGAGGGACGACGGCAAGCTGGTGGCCGTCTCGACGGCGTCGTCTCTGCCGATAGCCGTTGACGACTCTTCCTTGGACGTGTTGTCCATCCCGACCAAAAGGGGCAACAAGATTGTAGCTTTTTACCTGAGGAACCCGTACGCTAGGCTTACCGTGTTGTACTCTCATGGCAATGCGGCTGATCTGGGCCAGCTCTATGATCTCTTTGTTCAGCTCAAAGCCAATCTCAGAGTTAATCTTATTGGGTCCGTTGATTTGACTGTCTTTTGTTGGAAATTGTCTTAAATTCATTTTCTTTTGTTATTTCTGAGTTTTCATATTGGGCCAAAAAATGGGGGGAAATTACAATATTGTCGATCTCTAATTCTCTGCCCCTNGCATACAATGTGTTCGATCATATCAAGTGCTGTTTGTACAATAGCAAGTAAAAGTTTGGTTCTTTTAATCTTCTTTCCCATGTTGGCTTAACAGATTGAACGTTTTTGCTTATAATTTTGGCATTTTTTTTCTGGGCAAGTAAATGAGGAGTGTATAGTCAATTTTAACTTTGCTTTGTAAGCTTTTGGATGTTGAGGATTTTCATGTCTTACCACAATGTTCTTCTGTGTTCTTTAGGGTACACATGCGCCTCACACCTTTTCAGTTTAACTTTTTCCCTGGTAAAGTTAAGATTAGGTTCTTTAGGGTAAAAGGGTCCCAAGTTTTGATTTTTCTTTTTTGAATTTTTTGTCTTTGATTGAGTTAATTGTCAAATATTGCCCAGTGGATAATAAATCATCCTTTGTTGAATGAAAGCTCAAGACCTAAAGCTATGTTGTTTCCTAGTCTTTTTCCTGCGTTTAATGTTTGTAACTTTGCATTATTGTCATGTTGTGTGAAAGCGATTGGTTTAAGTGGTGACTCAATTATGCAACGGCTGAATAAAGTTTTTAAATGCTGGCTGTGGATTGTGACATCTTGTGAATCTGCTTAGTTGTGGGGCTTGTGCTTTCTGGGCTGTGATTTATTTTTTTTCTCAACTTTCATGATATCTGCATTTCTTTGTGTTGTCAGATTGGATGATTTTCAAGCTTAATCCTTGAAAGCTTTTTGTGTTTTACGTGCTCCTTTTCAACATATATGTTAGGGAAGAACAATGCGTACTTATATTTTCTAAATAAACTGTTCTTTTTTTTTTCTTTCCCTTTTGTTTTTAACTTTACTTAAATAATTTTTTATGGATCAGAACCCTGTATTTAATATCAATTATCAACTCGTACTGCTCGTCTTGTACAATTTAGATGGAGATTAATGTAACTATACCATATCCTGTTATCTATTTTCATCACGATTTTTTGCATCATGTATTGTGAATATTTATATTCTTTTTCTCCACTTGTTGGTTTTAGGCATAATTTTAATGATATATCATATTTATGTTTGCCATGTTTTTGTTTGGGCAGATACGATTATTCCGGTTATGGAGCTTCTACTGGCAAGGTAAACATAAATACACCTTTCACTCTTCATAAAAACAGAAGAAGAGATTAGTGTCATTAATATTGTGTCAATCCAAATTAGCATACTCTTTGTACGAAAATACAGAATAGTGAAGCAAATCTATATAATAGTGTCAAATCCAAGTCAGTCTGTTGAATCGGAATAAGCTAATGTCTGGAATGTTATTGAATAATTCTACTTCTTTCTCATATTTCTTAACCGGTAATTATTATGGTTAAATTGAAAAAAGTTGTTTTCTTGAAATGATCCAGCCAAGCGAATATGACACATATGCTGATATAGAGGCTGTCTATGAATGCCTTCAAACCGAGTATGGGATCAGCCAAGAAGATCTAATTTTATACGGACAATCGGTTGGAAGTGGGCCCACATTGCATTTAGCAGCTCAGTTACCGAGGTTGAGAGGTGTAGTTCTGCATAGTGCTATACTCTCTGGCCTTCGCGTGCTTTGCCATGTGAAGTTCACTCTGTGTTGTGATATATATAAGGTTAGCTCCATATTTATGTACTCCTGAGATATCTAATGACCCGATTTATGTATTTTTTGGTTGGCATTGATCTGTATCAAGCGAGATTCGTGACTGTTAGATATTATTAGACTTTCTTTAGAAGGACTTTGTGTTTAAATTTATTTATTTGTTTTTAAACATTTCAGAAATTACTAGGATTAGCTCTGAAATTGATATATCAACAACAATATTAACTTCAGAAACTTATGTTTGCTATCACTTAAAGTTACTAACTTCATCTATCTATCTATGCAGAATGTAAACAAAATCCGCAAAGTGAAGTCCCCCGTGCTAGTTATACATGTAAGTGATTTATGTAATCCCCACAGCATTGAAAGTTAAAAGTGTTACATAT